CTCACTACTTTGCCGCCGTTATATTTGACAATACCAATATACGTTTCGATATATAGAATGCAACCGTGCTGAGGTGGGGCTTTGATTTTATATATATATATATATATATAAAACCTGTATTAATGTTTGTATATGATTTCAACCTCATATTACAACATACTTTGAAAAATAAATGGCTGATATGATTTATATAGATAGATTAAAAAAATAAAATTTAGGCATCAGCAATGCATAAGAAAACAGCATTTGTCGTCTTTGCAGCCTGTAAAAAAAAAAAAAAAAAAAGAAAAAAACCACTCACGATAGGTGAGTCTGTCAGTGAATACCTGAGTTTAGATTTCATGGAAAAAAAAAAAACACACAACAAACAGTGTGCGACATCTATTGTGCGATATTTTATCTCTCTCTGTCTCTGTCTCTGTCTCTCTCTCTCTGTCTGTCTCTCTCTCTCTCTCTCTCAAACTGAGGCTGGAGGGGTTCGGGTGCTTTGCTCAAAGGGACCTTAAAAGTAGTCACAAAGCAGACTAGCATCTTTTGAGAGAACTCAATTTCTGGTGTTTTAAATGGCAAAAGATTTTAGCAGCTCACATTATTGATGGAGTCTTCAGCCATCTTCCACCACCTGGCAGGTTGGGGAAGACGTCTTCCAAGAAGAAGTATACATGACCGACAGCGATACCTTAGAAAGGCAAAAGACATTTCAACAATGTGAAGAGATATCATTCACCACACAGTATATTGCAGAAGTTGTGATAAATACCTAAAAGATCTATGATGATGGAATTTCCCAGCAGAAGTGAAAATCCCATCAGCACCCAAGGCAGAAAGGGTGCCTGGAAATTCAAAAGGCCAAAGAAATTCATCCGAACATTTGGATTTCTTCGACTCCATATGTACACCAACATTATTGTGAACGCTTGGCCCAAGAACACCAAACTCACAAAAGTTCCAAATATCTGAAATCATGTTAAAGAACCTGAAAAAAAAGATTTGTTTTGAACCATGGTTAAACACTGCATTCAGCAGGTTCCAAAACATGGAACTATTTAATACCTAAAATTTTTGTACCAAATATTATTATTATAGATTTGAACAACTACATTTTGTTGATATACAATGTGTTATAAAAGCAATGAAGAGTATTGAACCTCCCAAATTCATTTCATCTTGTCAAAGTTAAGCCTGTAGTTATTTTTTTGGGGTAAATCGTCACAGTTTCAGAACAAATGTATCTAAAAAGCAGCATTATGTAGCTGTGAATAAGCAGGTGATTCTGACAGCAGATTCTGAGAGGCGTTCCCAGGCAACCGTCACAATATTTTTGGGTCTGTCAGGTCGGAGTGGCATTTTCCCCCACCATCGGAGCCAACTCCTACCAGGTGGTGATCGGTTGCCAGCTCGCAATCACGCCCTTTCAGGTCTCACTGTCATTGCCCACGTGAGCACTGAAGTCCCCCGGAAAAATGACTGAGTCCCCCAAAGGAGCGCTCTCCAGCACACCCTCCAAGGACTCTGAAAAGGGTGGGTACTCTGAGTTGCTGTTTGGTGCATAGGAACAAACAACAGTCAGGACCCGTCCCCCTACCCGAAAGCGCAGGGAGGCTCCACTCTCGTCCCCAATGTACAGGCACTGAGGTGGGTGGGGGTTGGGAGGGGGGGTTAACGAATATGCCCACACTTGTGCTCGACACCTCTCACTGTGGGCAACTCCAGAGTGGAAAAGAGACCAAACCCTCTCGAGAGAACTGGTTTCAGAGCCTAGGCTGGGTGTGGAGGCAAGTCTAACAATGTCAAGTTGGAACTTCGCTGCCTCACATCCCAGCTTGGTTGGGCTGCTTCCCTGCAAGAAAAGGTAACATTCCATGTCCCTAGGGCTAGCTTCTGCCGTCGAGGATTGGACCACCCCCGCCTTTGGCTGCCGCCCAGCTCACATTGCCAAGAGTCCCCTCCCTCCCCACTCCCCCAGAAAATTTCTCAACAGATACGCTTATCTTGACAATAATAATTTTGGTCCAAAAAAACTCGGCAGTTCTAAAATTCTCATCGCTGCACGTAGGTTTCATGCGGGCGTGTTAGATTTTTCGAAGTCCAACTTTGAAATGTCACCAAGGCAACCTGCGGGGATTGGTGTGCAGTTCGCTATCTGACATTGACACTCTTGAAGAGGCCACCTAGTGAACGCATGCGACATTGCTACGCGGAAATTTTGCCATGCCAAACGAGGCTTGTCGAGGACCCGTTTGTCCAAAATAGACACCTATTCAGACTGCGCTGCCGAGCTGCAACTTTGCCTGGACAGAATTAGCATTCACCCCACTACAGCTGCATGGACACTGGGGTTCATCGCTGCCTGTGACACGGATGTCCGTGAAGCAGAACACGTCTCTTTTTCTCCATTTTTTGCCGAGAAATCGCCATTTTCATGAAACTTAGCCATTTTGTAATGCCGATTGCTGAGGAATGGAAAAAGAAAATTTAGTTTTCTGCTGAAAGAAGACAGTCCAAAACTTTATTTTGGTAGGCTCCATGTTTATGTAGCATTTGAACCAAATATTCTGTGGGCCTTGCAAGATCAGTCAAAATACAGTAAAATGCTGGGATTGAGGGGGTTGCTCCAGTGAAAATGGCTGGGATTGAATGAGTTAATTGTCTTATCATAAACACATCGGCTGCGCGGGGATAGCTGGCCAGGAGCTAGCTGGAGGCTAACGGCGGCTACACCGTCAGAGTGTGAAGTGAGAGTCGCCTTCCACACCACTAACACAAGTCTCTTCGCCTCTCTCAGAAGGCAATGCTGTTAATTACTGTATAAGGTTTTATAATTAAAGATTTAATAGGTGTACTGTTGTAGTCTTTGTCTCAAAATATGTAAAGTATAATCACTGTTTACACATCTTAAACATGCTGGTATCCACATACACTTCCACAAAAATTCCTAGGGGGGGAGCAAACTCTCCTTCATGGTTTTTCACTTATCGCGGCTGGGTCCCGGTCCCCATTAACCACGATAAGTGAGGGATCACTGTGGTTGCTGTTATGTATAACTTGTTGGAGCTCGACTTCACAGATGTTAACGATGAGATGGCACTTAAAATTGGCTTTGAAGCCATTTTAAGAAGGCTTAGTCCTGGGAGCGTGAGAAGACACTACCCCAAGGGTCGCCTCCATCTCAGCTCCAACTTGCACACAACCCTTTTGAGGACAAGCACTACAGAACATGGATTTACTGGAGAATTAAAAAAAAAAAAAAAAAAAAAGTAAAATTAACTGTGTTCGAGGGTTTAGATTCAAGTAATCAGCGTTCATGAGACAACCCACCATTAAATGCAACCTTTGTGCTCTGTTCAAAAGGAACTTGTATATTATTTACATGTCCGTTAATTCCAAAAGTTATATGAGCCATTTTTTATTTTTATTTTAGTAATACACAATTATTTGGTTTTGTTTTGAAAGTCATAGACTGTTAGAATAAAGAGCAAAAATGAAATAACCACATTGTCATTTGTAAAATAAACTGAATTGACCCGCCCAAACCTCAGTGAAAAGGATACAGTCATCAGAAGTCCGCCAAAGAGGAACATGAAAACAAAGTCACCTGTTCGACCCCTGAAGGAGCCCTCCTCCAGCATACGACAGTATCTGTATCTAAAAATAAATTGTTGAGGAAGGGGACAACATTTCTTAAAGATCTCAAGAAATGCATATAAAAATATATGAGGGTGACAATTATGGCTTGCCGTCACACTGTGGATCTAAAGTACATCTAGAAAGGAGGAACTTGTGAGTTGGCAGCTGGTTATGGTAGTTTTGCTAATTTTCTCTTATTTGTATTTTCCCCCCCTTTCAATCATTTAGTGTTGGTTTTGCATTGAGTTAATCTGTTTTGGTCTGTTTTCAGCATTTTGGTCGAAGATGCGGCAGACGCAATCAACTTTATTCCATGAATCCAAAAGTGTTTTATCATATTTGAATTACACGATATTATTTTAGAGCACATATTGCACCGAGGAGAACACTTGTTACTTTTCACTTTTGATCCCCACTGAATAGTGTCTGCAACTATTGTGTGCAAGCGTTCTGCTTGCACACACTTCCCGCTTATAAAAATCGAAGCGTGTATTGTTGCGCACACATTTATCATCAGTCATTCTTTGTCCTTGCCCGGCGGCTTCCGGCGGGGAACGGCCCCACAGACGCGCAACGCCACCGACGAACCTTCGCTGCGCACTGGGCTTCCACGCCCCAGCGCCACAGCTCTGGTGGCAGGGATGGGGCTCCGCACACATACATTTCCTATTGGTCGTTCTTGGTGAACAAGGCATTAAAAATTTAGCAATCTGAATGATTGTGGAAGAGCCGTAATTTTAGTCCCGGTACCACTCGGTTCTCAATTATTGATGCCTAATTATGGATGACTGACTGGGGATCAGTTCAGGGTGTACCTCTTGCATAATGACAGCTGGAAAAGGCTTCAACATGGCCGCGACATAGTGATTATGAACGTTTCAGAAAACGGATGAATGTATTACGGATCTGACACTGAAAACTGAAAAGGATACAAAAATATCATATTGAACAGAAAATTGAAGCCAACTGGACCAAAAAATAGGAAGTTTGTTATTAGTCGCCATACCTACAAATAAGAAAAGAGAAGGGAGAGGTTACACACCACAAACAACACATTGCATACATTTTGTACATTTTCTCAAGTGAAGATTTTTTTAAATAGGTTTCTCCTGTCTAATTCGATCACATCAATCTGATGTTCAACAATCAGTTTTCCATCAGAGAGATCCCTTATGATGAGCAAAACAAATGGACTTAAATTTCCCTTGCCCGGACGCGGTCGTATGGAGCCAGGCGTAGAGGTGGGACTTGTTGGCGAGCGCCTGGTGGCCGTGCCTACACCCATGGGGCCCGGCCGGGCTCAGCCCGAAGAGGCAACGTGGGTCGCCCTTCTCATAGGCTTACCACCCATGGGAGGGGCCAAAGGGGTCAGGTGCAGTGTGAGCTGGGCGGCAGCCAAAGGCGGGGACCCTGGCGGTCCGATCCTCAGCTACAGAAGCTTGCTCGAGGGACATGGAATGTCACCTCTCTTGCAGGGAAGGAGCCCGAGCTGGTGTGCGAGGTAGAGAAGTTCTGACTGGATATAGTCGAACTTGCCTACACACACAGCCTGGGTTCTGGTACCAGTTCTCTCGTGAGGGGTTGGACACACTTCCACTCTGGAGTTGCCCACGGTGAGAGGCTCAGAGCAGGTCTGGGCATACATTGGGGTTCACACCGGTAGACGAGAGGGTTGCCTCCCTCTGCCTTCGGGTCGGGGGGGATGGGTCCTGACTGTTGTTTGCGTATAAGCACCCAACAGCAGCTCAGCGTACTCGCCCTTTTTGGAATCCTTGGAGGGTGTGCTGGAGAGTACTCCTGCTGGGGGACTTCAATGCTCACGTGGGCAATGACAGTGAGACCTGGAAGGGCGTGATTGGGAGGAACCCCCCCCCCCCCGATCAGAACTCGAGTGGTGTTTTGTTATTGCACTTCTGTGCTCGTCATGGATTGTCCATAACGAACACCTTGTTCAAACACAAGGGCGTCCGTATGTGCACTTGGCACCAGGAAACCCTTGGCTGCAGTTCGATGATTGACTCTGTGGTTGTATCATCGGATTTGGGGCCGCATGTTTTGGACACTCGGGTGAAGAGAGGGGCGGAGCTGTCAACTGATCACCACCTGGTGGTGAGTGGGCTCCGATGGTGGGGGAAGATGCCGGTCCGACCTGGCAGACCCAAACGTATTGTGAGGAATTGTTGGGAGCGTCTGGCGGAATCCCCTGTCAGAAGTAGTTTCAACTCCCACCTCCGACAGAGCTTTTCCCATGTCTCCGGGGGAGGCGGGGGACATTGAGTCAGAGTGGACCATGTTCCGTGCCTCTATTGTTGAGGCGGACAATCTATGTTGTGGCCGTAAGGTGGTTGGTGCCTGTCGTGGCGGCAACCTCGTACTCGCTGGTGGACACCAGCAGTAAAGGATGCCGTCAAGCTGAAGGAGTCCTATCGGGCCTTTATGGCCTGTGGGACCCCAGAGGCAGCTGATGAGTATCGACTGGCTCAGCCGAACACAGCCTCGGTGGTCGTCGAGGCAAAAACTCGGGCGTGGAAAGAGTTCAGTGAGGCCATGGAAGCCGACTTCAGCACGGCTTCGAGGAAATTCTGGTCCACCATCCGACGTTTCAGGAGGGGGAAGCAGTGCACCATTAACACTGTGTATAGTGGGGATGGGGCACTGCTGACTTCGACTCGAGACGTTGTAAATCGGTGGGCAGAGTACTTCGAAGACCTCCTCAACTCTACCAACATGCCTTCCTTGGAAGAAGCAGAGTCTGGAGCATTTCGCAGCCGAGTGTGAAGCGGTTGGGATGAAAATCAGCACCTCCATATCTGAAACAATGGTCCTCAGTTGGAAAAGGCTGGAGTGCCCCCTCCGGGTCGGGGATGAGATCTTGCCCCAAGTGGAGGAGTTTAAGTATCTTGGGGTCATGTTCACGAGTGAGGGCAGGAGGGAGCGGAAGATCGACAGGCGGATCGGTGCAGCGTCTGCTGTGATGCGGACTTTGTATCGGTCTGTCGTGGTAAAGAAGGAGCTGAGCCAAAGGGCGATGCTCTCAATTTACTGGTCGATCTACATTCCAACCCTCATCTATGGTCACGAGTTATGGGTCGTGTCCGAGAGAACGAGATCCCGGATCCAAGCGGCCGAAATGAGTTTTTTCCGCAGGGTGTCAGGCTCTCCCTTAGAGATAAGGTGAGAAGCTCAGTCATCCGGGAGGGGCTCAGAGTCGAGCTGCTTCTCCCCCACATCGAGAGGAGCCAGATGAGGTGGCTCGGGCATCTGATTAGGCATAGAAAAAAAGTAGTGTGTTTCCGGTAACCCGACCAACCGAGAATTTCTACGTCGAAAAAAAACTTTACGGTCGGCATTTTTTTCAAACAACCCTCTACATTTTTGTGTAGAGGGTTTACATCAGTGCAAACTCTCGCGATAGTCACGTTGAGCGCGTGCGTCGTTTGCCCTGTCGTCTGTCAACAACATTGAAACATGGCGGCGGCCGCGATCTCCGATGACAGTTTAACCGCGTTTTCTGTGTTACAGTCGCGTGCTCGCACCGTAATGTTAAGAAAATAGCATCCATTGATGTATCGAAAAAATAAAGCGAACTATTTGATGAACACCACGGGCCGAGTAAAAATCGAGGGCGGAGGAGGACGGCGGAGGAGGACGGCAGAGGAGGACGGCGGAGGAGGACGGCGGAGGCGGCGGCGCGCCCCGGCCCCCTGAGTCCGGAGCGGGGAGAAAACTTAAATAGGCAGCGGCGGGGGCGGCGGCGGAGCGGCGGGTTCAACGTTTTCTTGTTTTATGTTTTATGGTTATTTTGTTTAAATTTTTGATGGGGGAGGAAAAAAAAAAAAGATTAAAAAAAAAAAAACTTTGTCGGACCTACCGACCCTATGCTGAAATTTCTTGTTACCGGAAACACACTATCTTTTTTGTTTGGCCTTAGGATCCCTCCTGAACGCCTCCCTGGTGAGGTGTTACAGGCATGTCCCACAGGCAGGAGACCCCGGGGACAACCCAGGACACGCTGGAGAGACTATGTCGCCCAGCTGGCCTGGGAACGCCTCAGGATCCCTTGGGAAGAGCTGGAAGAAGTGGCTGGGCTTCCCTGCTAAAGCTGTTGTCTCCGTGACCCGACCCCGGACAAGCGGTAGAAGATGGATGGATGGATGGATTAGTGTTGTTTTACGACACCTGCATAATGTATCAACGATACCGGTACTGAAACAATTATTCGCCAACATTTTGACAAATATTACATTCCAATTCTTTTCCATTTTCAAAACGGTGGAAGTAAACATCCCCCCTCAGTTAAGTAAATAAATGTCACATTTCAATATTCTGATGAAATACAGGCACTGACATTTGTGATTGGTTTGGCATTTTATGTTGCCAAGAAATTAAACGAAGAAGAAGTGTGATTATGATCAAGTTCGATTACTCACTTGGTAATTCCTTAGGATCAAATCTGGATTGAAGTATAGTTGAAAAGGTGTGATGAGCTCTAGTTGCTGGAAGGAAAAAACAAACAAGTCATCAAAGAAGATATAAACTTCATCTGTTAAGACACATGAATTAATATGCTTGACAGGTAAAATCTTGATCAACTCAACAGCAACACTGCATAGTTTAGGTGACTTATTTTAACCACCAGGTTCCCTATTGTACACTGTCAAACGGCAGAACCCAGGGTGTTCTCCCAAACAATCATCCATTTTCTGAAGTACCGGTACTTATCCTTTTGGCCTAATTGTGAGTCCATCTGTCATACAACGGTTGGCTAGCGCGCATCACACATAGATGTTAGACGTGTGTGTGTTATGACTCAAATCTGGAAATATTCATTCAGCGTTTGTTTTTAACAGCCAATTTGCTACTCAATTCCAGTCACCACCGATTTGTGTATAGCCCCAATAAAGACATACAGCATATGGTTGTATTGACTGCTTCGATTAGATACATGTTCCATGACATTAAGCAGAGTTTCCAAATAAGCAAGACATCGGAAGAGTTCCAAGTCATCCTCCATGATTCTAGCTGTCTCTGACGTACTGTCATCTCTCAGAGGCAGTAGCTAAACTGACCCGGAAGTACATGGACTTCTTCTTCTTCTCCTTTCGGCACGTCCCTATTCAGGGGTCGCCACAGCGAGTCAGTAATTTCCATCCGCCCCTGTAAACCGTCCTACCAACTCGCATGGTCGTCTTGGCAAAAGTTTCACGCCGGATGCCATTCCTGACGCAACCCTCCCCAATTCTCCGGGCTTGGGACCGGCACTGGGGAACAGTGCACCCCCAGGGGAGGGCACTGCCCCCCAGCGGCTGGGTTACCCGGAAGTACATGGACATACATTGAAAAAGAAAAGAGCTCCCTTGCAACAAACTCCTCAAAAAACAACAAAAAAAAAAAACACTGCGTTATCTCGCATTTTTTGTGAGGTAACAAAAACCTTGTGAGCGAACGCGTTTTTTTGTAGAGTACATTTTTTTTTTCTTCCACGTCACCTTAGGGGCTCATAGGTTGCACATTAACGGGTTTTCACTTGCATGCTTTATGTCACTGCCACATTTTTGTATTTTCTTGAGGTTCTCAAAAATGAAGCTCTCATGAAAAATGAAAATACTGGGTGAAAATGGCCCTTTGAGTAACTCATACTAAATTTCACAAACAGTAAAAAGTTCATGAAAGGAGAGAAGTTCATGAGCTTTGTTAAAAAAAATACCAGTATATTTTTTTGTTAATCAGAATCAGAACCGCACTTGGAAATGGAATTGTCCAAATTGAAACGATGCTGAACTCTTGTAGCGGAGCACTATGACATGACATCACGTCAGAATTCTTCCACCTATTCCAATCAAGTACAACTTTACGTGAGTGTCACCCAGTATTCAGATAGACAAACCACAGTTGAAAACTGGTTACTGTATTTTCACGACCACAAGGCGCTCTTAAAAGTCTGACATTTTCTCCAAAATGGACGGGCCGCCAAATAATGCCGAGGCGCCTTATGTATGCACCGAGTTTCAAAATTTGTGAATGTTGTGTCACTTCAATGAGAGCTACGGTTGACTGACTGATGTTGTGCCGACACGCTTGTTACATAGAGGAAAGCATTACAAACTGAGTATTACATGTACGAACAATTCAACACAAATGTAGAACTGGAAAATGCACTTACAGTGATACACTTAAACAGTAGAAGTCTCTATAAAAACATCATAAAACTCAAAGAATACTTGACTAAATTCAATAAATTTAAAATAATTGCCATATCAGAAACTTGGCTTGACAATGAAAAAACAAGTGACATGAAAATGGAAGGATATGGAATGTTTGTAAAGAATAGGGAAAACAAAAAAGGAGGGGGGGTTGCAATATTTGTAGGCAAAGCTCTAAAATGCAGTAAAATCGAGAGATTGACAAACACAATAGAGAACCCAGTGGAATGTCTAACTATTGAAATACATCTTAAAAAGGCATCAAATGTCATCAAAAGTTGCATCTATAGGACAACAGGATCATGTGTTGACACATTCAATAAAAAAACTAACAGATATGCGAAGTTGCTCCACTGATAAGAAAACGTGAATAATGCATGGTGACTTTAACATTGACTTATTAAACCCAAATGGACATTAAAAAAAACAACTGACTTTATAAATACGATGTATAGCAACAGTCTTTTCCCAGTAATCCTGAAATGTGGTAGAATAACAGTTAATATGGCTACATTAATAGATAACATTTAAAAATAAGGTTGACCATAAAATCGAAAGTGGACTTCTCATGACTGATATAAGTAATAATCCATCCATCCATCCATCCATTTTCTGAACCGCTTTATCCTCACAAGTGTTGGGGGGCAGGGGGGGGGGCCCTGGAGCCTATCCCAGCTGTCTTCGGGCAGTAGGCAGGGGACACCCTGAACCGGTTGCCAGCCAATCGCGGGGCACGGGGACAAACAACCATCCGCACTCACACTCGCACCTAGGGACAATTTGGAGTGTTCAATCCACCTGCCACGCATGTTTTTGGAATGTGGGAGGAAATCGGAGTACCCGGAGAAAACCCACGCAGGCCCGGGGAGAACATGCAAACTCCACACAGGAGGCCGGAGCCGGGATCGAACCCATGACCTCTGCACTGTGAGGTGGACGCGCTAACCAGTCGACCAGCGGGCCGCCCTAAGTAATAATTATAATTCATAGTTATCATAATTATTTTGATAGAAAATCTACATTAACAGCTCACATATCAGAAATAAGACTAAGAACACAATGCTCATCACTGCTTTTAAACTTGACCTAGAAAAGCAAAACTGGTCCAAGGTCTACTCAAACGAAGACCCAAATACAGTAAATATTCTCTAGTACGGACTCGTGTTTGCGCTGTCCAATTTGTCCTGATAACAATTCCTCATTTGGGAAATGAGCATGGTACATGTCCTTTATGAACCTGCAAGTATGTTGACAAAATGCACGTGTAACAACACAATCAATAAAATACAAAAATATACTGTCCCAAAACTGTTTATATAACAAAAACTGCAATACAGGTGTATCCAAAAAAAATCACAACAGTAAAATACATACAGTATTTTAATGTTTATTTTTTTTCTGTCTTGGGAAAAAAAGGTTTCTATTTTGAATTGTTTTGTTGGATGCATTCTTTGGTTTACGACAATGTTTGCCTGCGTGTCATACAGTTTTCTTGGTAGTTGCAAGTAACTGTCCCGTTGATCACCGATGTCTGGTAATTCTTGTGCATACTGAAGGATTTTTGTTGCCATTTGCATTGCTTCCTTGCTGGATGGTGGCTTGTCATCAGGAGTTGAATCGATGCCTTGTTTTTTAAAGTTTCGTAGATTTGCGTCTTTCTGACTCCAAGTGTCTGCTGGATGTTTTCAACTTTGTGTCCAGCCTCGCTCAAACGGATGCATTTCACTCGCTCCGCTCCAGTCATTACAGTTCTTCTACGTTTCGATGCCATGATCTACACGACGTAAGTGAATAAAGTTAAAATCTTTCGCAATTACAGTAAAACGCACGCCAATAAAAAGTCACTTACACGTCTTCGTTTCGAATCTGATGAATGAAAACGGCAAAGCGAACACGTTTCTTCGGTCGTGTCGAGTGGGTGCTGCTTTTAAGCTAGTGCCGCGTTCTACAGGAAGTAAGTGAATAAAGTTAAAATCATTCACAATTACAGTAAAATGCACGCCAATAAAAACTCACTTACACGTTGTTATTTCAAATCTGATGATCGAAAAACGCGAAGTCAAAACGTGTCCCAGCGTCGTGTCTTTTCCGTCGCATCGGGTGGGCGTTGTGTGTATTTAAGCTCCCGCGGCATTACACCTCCATCCGGGTTATGGCTCGTGGAATTTCCGCTTACGTAAGTTCCGGTAACACGTAATATCGTAGTTAAAATGTTAATGCATAGGTTTTTATTACGGGTGAAGGATATTCCTTTTCATAGAATTCCGGGGATGGGAATATTTACTGTACTGCATATGATGCATTTCAGTCTACCATAATCTCAACATTTTCCATTAACTAAAGTCTCCAGAAAGTACAAAGACCTAAGTAAGCCATGTATAACCAAAGGTATAGAAAATGCACGTAAAAAGAAAAACTATTTCTATAAATTGTTTATAAAATTGAGAACTAAAGATGCTGAAATAAAGTATAAGACCTATAAAAATAAATTTGTAAATATTATAAGAACTAGTAAGCGAGATCGTTACCATGCATTATTAGAGCAGAATAAAAGCAACAAACTGGAAATATAGAAAATACTACCGTATTGGCCCGAATATAAGACGCTGTTTTTTTGCATTGAAATAAGACTGAAAAAGTGGGGATCGTCTTATATTCGGGGTCATTATACCCATTCACGACGCTAGATGGTGCCAGATATCATTGAAGTGAATGCTGAACTTGACTCCCCCAGGCCAAAGTGAACCCCTGTCACGAAGAATAAAAATAAAAATAGCGGTGGCACGAAGAAGAAAAATAAAAAACAGTGGTAAGAAGGAAAAGAAGATCGGCCAGGTTAACCGGCAGCTGAGGAGTAGTTATGATGTAATTTACATTTCAAAAACCAGAAGCCATTCATTGACGAATGTGATTGCACTTTAGTTTACATATTTAAATGTTCAGATATTAAGATTTGAATGTGGAAAAATAACACGCTTTTTCTCTCAAATATATTGTGATAATCATTTGTTTCAGATGTACTGTAATTATTTTCTGTATAAAATTAATTTGGTGTTCAAAAAGTCTTTTTTCAAACTTGAGTCTTGAAAAAGAGGGGGTCGTTTTATAATCAGGGCCGTCTTATATTCGGGCCAATACGGTAAATCACGTAATCAGAAATAGTCCTAAAAAAGTAGATTATCCAGAGTACTTTAGTAATAGACAAAAATAATATTATTGAGAAAACTGCAGAAATAGCTAATGAATGTAATGAGTAACGTATTTTCTGCACTATAACGCGCACCGAAAAGTCTTCCATTTTCTTAAAAGCTCATAGCGCGCCTTCAAATCCGGTGCGCCTTGTGTATGGTCATTACGGTAATATGACGACCCCAAGATGGCTCCTTGCTGGAGACATGCTTACAATGTTATAACTTGCTGTTGGTTCAGTGAACTGTGTTGCTGCTTTTGTTACAGCTCCGAAAAAAGGAGAGCCGTGGTGTTGTTTTTTTAAAACACACACTCTATTAATGGTTTTCACAGTCTCAACAAATACATGTACGTCTTTGTCCGTCTCCGTGCCTTCTCTTCTTGCGTTTGACACGAGAGGCATAGAATTTATTTTGTGATTTCCTCGCTTGATTTTCTGTTTTGATGCAGTATTTTCAATTTTCATCGTTTCATTGAAGTAATTGTTAATTTTTGTTTTTCGGAGGCGGTCATGAACGCCTCTCGAGTTGAACGGAAGGAGCGTAGCTTCATCTAGTCACTAGATGGAGCTACGCTCCACTAGATTCTAGTGGATGCATTGTCGATTGTGCCTGATAATCCAGTGCGTCCAATACAGTAAATATTCTCGAGTAAGGAATCATATTTGCACTGTTCAATTCTTCCTTATAAAAGAATTTCCTTATGTGTGAAATGAGCATGGTACATGTCCTTTATGAACATGCAAGTACGTGAACAAAATACTGTACGTGTAACAACCAACACAAGCAATGAAATGCAAAAATATCTGCTCCTAACACTGTTTATAACACAAAAGTACAGTATACTGCACAGGTATATGAACAAAATACAGGAAATACATTTAGGACTATTTGCTCTAAAATGAGACGAGTAACAGACTCGGTGGCTTTTCTTTCCACTTTCTCACTGTCTCTAACTCGACCTCCACTCGATCGGCACCCAAGACAGCGTTGCTCAGCTGACGTCATCCAATGAACTTTTAAAGCCAGCCACGGGACGCTTCGAAGTCCTCGCTGGCCATAGTTAGCGCGATGGAACTCGCCTTCTCTTTAATTAGCGCTCCAGTTAGCGTAAGGTTTTTAGCATGATAACAAGTAAAGCATTCCAGTAAACGTTCGTTTATTCGACTGTCCGTCGAGCCACAAGCAATTTACTCTGGGCAGCTAATCGGATGCATTCCACTCGTATCTTCCACGGATCTAACTACAGTATCTACACACATAGATATTGAGGTCCGTCCCTCTTGGCCAATGGGATGCCAGGATGATGCTCGGTAAGCCAATGGTAGAGCAGCTATGAGCATGTTGTGTTCAGGAAACTCGCAGCTGTGAACGAAATAAAAATTGTTCACTATTCCAGTAAAACTCATGCTAATAGAGTCACTTACATATCGCCATTTTGTATCCAATGAGAGTAAATAGCGGCGCGGGCAGAGTTATTCCGTAGTATCGAGCGGGACTTGCTTGTGTTTGCGCCACTGCGTGCTTCTGTATGGCTTCCGGGTTCCGGGTAGTGGAAATTACGTTGTTATGAATTGATCGTTAATGTAATATCGTCGTCGAAATTTTAATGCATGGGTTTTAGTCCATTTGTTTACAAATTATATACCAATATCACTCTTACCACAATTCTCAAAAATATTAGAAAAACTATTTTCATGCAGACTTGACAACTTTATACAGAAACATATGCTATTAGGTGAAAATCAATATGGCTTCAGAGAAAAACGGACCACCTCAATAACAGTAATGGAGTTTGTGGAAGCAATAGCAACTAACATAGACAATAGGGAATTCATTTTGATACTATAGATCAGGGGTGTCAAACTAATTTTTGTCACGTGCCACATTGTAGTTACGGTTTCCCTTGGAGGGCCGTTATGACTGTGAATTTTGTGAAACCACCAACCACATATTACATACACAGTGAGCAATAAATAGATGGCTAACTTGTTTTGACATCAGTAGTCAAGAATAATGGATTGTTTAAACATTGTAATTATTACATTATATATGAACATTTGAAATTTTGTTTCAGACTTTAGCAAGCATCATGGATGTTGACCTGCTTGAATTGCTTACACGGGCCACATAAAATGATGTGGTGGGCCAGATCTGGCCACCGGGCCTTGACTTTGACACCTGTGCTATAGATCATAGTATATTATTGAATAAATTAGAGTTATGGCATGAGAGGTGTAGCACATAAATGGATAAAAAGTTATTTAGATAACAGATATCAGTATGTGCAGTTCAAAAAAAAAAAATTCTAATCAACTGAAGATCACTCATGGAGTTCCTCAGGGTCTGTGCTTGGTCCAAAACTATTCAGCTTATGTAAAAATGATATTTGCAGTGTCTCAAAACAATTTAAATGTGTCCTATTTGCTGATGATACAACCTTCTACTGCTCTGGAGAAAATCTGAATCAGCTCCTGATAACTACGGGCAATAAATTAAACAAATTGATAAACTGGTTCGACAGGAATAAATTGTCACTTAACTTGGAAAAATCAAAGTTAATTTTGTTTGTAATTATGGTAAACTCAATTGAAATAGAAAGAGTGTATGAAAATTAATTTCTTGGATTAGTAATAGATTCAAACCTCTGTTGGAAGCCACATCTAGATAACGTGAAAAGAAAAATATCCAAAACCATAGGGATCCTCGACAAAATCAAGGATGTGCTGAATAAGAGATCTTTCTACATATTCTACTCATCATTACTACTACTATATATGGCCTACTGTATGGAAATATGGGGAAACGCCGGTAAAACAAACACACTCCCTGTTTTTAATCTAAAAAAAAGAGCCATCAGAATTATTAATAGATCAAAATATACGGAACCCACGAATCCACTATTTATAAAATTAAAAACAATGAAATTTTATGACCTGGTTGACTTCAAATTAGCCCATTTAATGTACAAAGCACATCCGGATGAACATTTTGCATTGTTAGGGGTGTGCATAAGTTACGCACCAAGGGTTAGTGACGTATCTCACTCTTACACACGTCAGCTACATGTGTGAGTGACTAAGCTGAAAAGCGATACTGTATTGTATATGATAGCTGTAGTAGCAAAAAGCGAAGGAAGGGAAGATAATTTTACCACTTGCAACACAGTCAAATGTAACTATCTTACCACTGCTGCTGTTGTTAGGACACATGCGGTTGTATATGCCCTCGTCACAAGCGGAATCTGTAAATACTCCTGTTGAAATGTCTGGTAAGCCATTTTGAACAGGATCTTTGCATCCAGCACTTTGCTGTCAAACAGTTTTACAGTGACGAGGTTCCTCCAAACATGTGCGGCTCCAACCAGTCTGATTATTATTATTTTTTTTCTTCTTCTTCCTCCTCTCCCTCCTCCTCTTCTTCTTCTTCTTCCTTTTTTTTCTTCTTCTTCCAAGCTCATTTGGCGGTTGGCAAACAACGTTATGTGCATTACCGCCCCCTTTCTGAAATGAAGTTGGGGTGGGTGGGCTGGATAATGTCCTCCAGTGTTTCATATCTCAGTGGTTGTCAAATATGGGGTGCGCATAGCATAAACACACTAGGGGTATGTGAAAGCGCCTCAGGTGGTGTGAGATTTGACAATATATTTTAAGAGCATTCGTGCAAAGCAGTGGCCTCCCTGCCGATCACTATTTTTATAAAGCATTTAAAGAACCTCAATGAAATTCTGATCAAAACCAAAAGTATGACCCGCCTCAAATAAGCGATGATTTTACAATATGAAATACTTTAGAAAAGTCGAGGAATAAAAAGCATTGGAACAGCAAGCTTTGTTTTTGTTGTATACTCAAGACTTTGGGTTCCATATGATGTATTCATGGGGTGAAAATTTGTGTTTGTAAATAAGGGACCTTGCCAATAAAACGTGTCTGTGAATCTTATCTACATTGTAATTGCAACCTAAAATAAAGTTTAAACCACCAAATTTAGCAAAATACACTGAGGGATAAAATTCCAAATAAAAACAGGTTTTTTTTGAAAGTGTTTAGCCCAATTGATTAACTGTATTAATGCAGTGAAACCTAAGACGCTGAGACCTCCAGAGTCATTATTTATTGAGACACTCTGATGTAAAGTGTGCAGTTCTTCCAGAGGAAGTTAAAACGCATGCAATGGATATCCTGACAAATTTTATATTCACCGAGGAGTGACAGACCTGCATTAGACAAGCGAGTAAACTTCCCGCCTTAGAAAGTAAAACTCTCCTTTTCAAAGTGAAATGTCTTTCTTGCCATTGAATTAATATAGTTTGTGTTTTCTTGATTAATGGGAGCAAATTTGCGAGCAATCCTCTTTTTTTTCATCTTTACAAATGACAAGGGTGAAATTAGTTGCTTCTGTTTGGATCTTAACCCTTTCAGGAACAGCGGTTACTACAGCAGCCATCTTGTTACCTCTGTATCCCGCGTCCTAGACGCATAATTTTCCCGCCAGACGCACAGTTCCAAATAACGTGCGTTTTTGGGACGCAAGGAAATTTTTCAGTAAAAAAAAAAAATGCAAAAAAAAAAAACACTATGGTAAATCTTTTTTTCCAGCAACGAACGTAGTTTGACAATCGCCACCATTGTTGTTTTGATCTCGCGTTAAGTAATCTCGCGTGACGAGATTTCCGTTATCGCAAGACAAGATTGGTGAGATCGGCCTTCACCACGTGGAAAGCAAACGATTGGCAAGTCGTGTAAGGTGAAAGCAAGTGTTGCGAAAGTTTATTGCAGAGATATCACAGAGGAAACAGCTAAAGTTTGATAGTTTTTTGCGATAATAATCTTGTATGCCTGAATTATTTAAATTTTTGCAGCATTTGTTCATAAGAAATAAACCTATTATCAATGTATATTGTTGTTGTTTGTGTTATTAGGCGTAGAAAAAAAAGTAGTGTGTTTCCGGAAACCCGACCGACCGAGAATTTCCACGTCGAAAAAAATCTTTACGGTCAGCATTTTTTTCAAACAACCCTCTACATTTTTGTGGAGAGGGTTTACATCGGTGCAATCTCTCGCGAAATTCATGTTGAGCGCGTGCCCCGGCCCCCCGAGTCCGGAGCGGGGAGAAAACTAAATAGGTGGCAGTGGCGCCGGCCACGGAGCAGCGGGTTCTATGTCTTCTTGTTTTATGTTTATTTTGTTTAAATTTTTGATGGAAAAAAAAAGATAAAAAAATAAAATAAAAAAAACTTTGTCCGACCTACCGACCCTATGCTGAAATTTCATGTTACCGGAAACACTATCTTTTTTGTTTGGCCTTATCATGTGCAATTGATTAAGTAGACCATTTCAGAATTCGAAATTTGGTACTCTCTAAATTCATAATGGGACTCATAATTTTCTGATCAGCAAGTCCCTGGGATTCGCAGGGCTCAAACTGTAAAATTATCACTGCTACAGTGGACACCTTTTCATGTTATGAGGTTACAGGATGCATGAAAGGGTTAATATAACAAAGAATGGGTTCAATACATTCTTTAAAAGGCAAGAGTTGACATTTACTTACATTCAATGTCAAGCCAGAAGCCTTAGCGTACTCATTTATGACATGAAGAGCAATGGGTACCTGAGTGGCATTTTTAAGAAAAATTGTTGTCATCCGTCAACCGCTCCATCATCGATGTGTAATTCTTGAAGAGCACTATTTAAGACACGAGAAGCTAGAATTTGAGTACAAAAAAAACAAAGTGAAATGGGGCAGCCTTGGCGTATCCAGAATCACGCTTAACACAAAATATCTGTCGTGCCATTTTGCATTTGAATTGAGCTATTCACTTTTGTGTATGAAGCTATAACGCTGTTGCAGAAAAAAAAAGTCATGTTCAATTGTGTCGAAGGCTTTGTAAAAGGTTAAAAAGAGGATAAATGCGTCATCGAAGACCATGTCACACTAGTTGAAGATATCTAAGACAAGCCTGATATTGGAGATATGTCTTCATAAAGCCAGACTGCGTCTCATCTATAATTGTGTCCAACACATCCTTTATTCTTCTTGAGAGTATCAAAGCCATAACTTTATAATCATTATTCAGCAAACAAACAGGCCTCCAGTTGCCAATGTACAGCGTGTCTTTGTTAGGTTTAGGAATTGACGTTAGGAGGCCTTGAGTAAGACTACCATTCGGTAAACCCTCCAAAACTACTTGGACTAGACATAGAGCTAGCTGATCTGAATTTTTTTTTTTTTTTGGTCTCCAAAACCAGCAGTTCCAGGTGATTTCCAGAAACGAATGACTTGCACAACTTCCTCAACAGGAGGTGGAGTGTCACAGAAATAAGTCTATCTGAGGATTCTGTGATTTGTGTATCATTCCCCGAGTCCATAAAGGGTGCAGTGGTCTCTGCATTATACCTTGAACTGTACAAATTTGTGTAAAAGTCTCCATAAAACCTAGAAGCGTACAAAAATTGCAGGATTAGCGCTGAACTGTATTTACTGACATTGGTTTTTTTGAAGTGTTCCTGAGCCCATTGTGATGATATCCTTGACACATTGATGGCAGTTTTTTTGATGCAGTGCCGCCTGAGGGATCATCTGGTGTTAAGGAATTTATTCCTTACTGTGATTTTTTTTAGCCCCTCTCTGTTGTTAGATCTGTTCAAACACTTGAAAGCAAGAATGTAGTATGCTGTTTGTAGCAAAGGCTCAGCCCGCTCCTCAGTTTAGTTACCGCGAGACGTTCGCTTTGACACATTTAAGCATCGCGTTATTTCAACCTTCCAATAGGAACGCCTTGGGATCCCCCAGGAAGAGCTGGAAGAAGTAGCTGGGGAGGAGGAAGTCTGGGCTTCCCTGCTAAAGCTCTTGCCCCTTGACCCAACCCGGCATAAGCAATAGAAAATGGATGGACGGATAGTTGGATGGATGAACATACAAGTTTAATTCTTTTTTTTTTCTACAAGAGGCGCCAAAGGGGTCGGGTGCAGTGTGAGCTGTGCGGCAGCCAAAGTCGGGGTCCCTGGCAGTCCGATCCTCGGCTACAGAAGCTAGCTCTAGGGATGTGGAATGTCACCTCTCTTGCAGGGAAGGAGCCCGAGCTGGTGTGCGAGGAAGAGAAGTTCCAACTGGATCTTGTCGGACTTACCTCCACACACAGCCTGGGTTCTGGTACCAGTTCTCTCGAGAGGGGTTGGACTCTCTTCCACTCTGGAGTTGGCCACGGTGAGAGGGGTTCACACCAGTAGACGCGAGGGTTGCCTCCCTCTGCCTTCGGGTGCGGGGGACGGGTCCTGACTGTTGTTTGTGCGTCTGCACCCAACAGCAGCTCAGCATACCCACCCTTTCTGGATTCCTTGGAGGGCGTGCTGGAGAGTACTCCTGCTGGGGACTCCCTTGTTCTGCTGGGGGACTTCAATGCTCACGTGGGCAATGACAGTGAGATCTGCAAGGGTGTGATTGGGAGGAACGGCCCCTCCGATCAAAACTCGAGTGGTGTTTTGTTCTTGGACTTCTGTGCTTGTCACGGATTGTTCATAACGAACACCTTGTTCAAACATAAAGGTGTCCATATGTGCACTTGGCACCAGGACACCCTTGGTCGCAGTTCGATGATTGACTTTGTGGTTGTATCATTGGATTTGCGGCCGCATGTTTTGGACACTCGGGTAAAGAGATGGGCGGAGCTGTCAACTGATCACCACCTTGTGGTGAGTAGGCTACGATGGTGGGGGAAGATGCTGGTCCGACCAGACCCAAACGTATTGTGAGGGTTTGTTGGGAGCGTCTGGCGGAATCCCCTGTCAGAAGGAGTTTCAACTCCCACCTCTGGCAGAGCTTTTCCCATGTCCCGGGGGAGGCGGAGTACATTGAGTCCGAGTGGACCATGTTCCGTGCCTCTATTGTTGAGGCAGCCAATCTGAGTGGTGGTCGTAAGGTGGTTGGTGCCTGTCGTGGCGGCAACCCCTGTCCGTGTTGGTGGACACCAGCAGTAAGGGCTGCCGTCAAGCTGAAGAAGGAGTCCTATCAGGCCTTTATGGCCTGTGGGACCCCAGAGGCAGCTGATGGGTATCGACTGGCTAAGCCGAACACAGCGTCGGTGGTCGCTGAGGCAAAAATTGGGGCGTGGAAAGAGTTCGGTGAGGGCCATGGAAGCCGACTTCAGGACGGCTTCGGGGAAATTCTGGTCCACCATCCGATGTCTCAGGTGGGGGAACCAGTGCACCACTAACACTGTGTACAGAGGTGGTTGGGGTGGTGGAAGTTTTACTGTTGTTGCCTCCATCCAACTCGTGGTTCAAACCCTTGCTTCCGGTTTTCTAGCGCAGAGTGCTGACCACTGAGATTCCAGGCCGCCAGCTAAGCTCAAAACCCTTTCAAAAGGCATCGGAAGTGATGTTTACTGTCCATGCAAGATAGCATCTGTTACACATGAAAATATTTTCCTTGATGGGCGAGGAAGTGGTGTGGGGACATACTTTGCCCGAAGTATATGGCTCCTCTATCCCAGCAGGCTGGAGCTTTAACATGCACACTAAACTATCATTGATCGGCAACATATTGTACGCGTACCTAATTATTGTTCATTCACATTGACAGGGGTGGAGGTGGATGGGGAACTGTAATACGCCAACCGCATCACCTCAGTGGAAGGATGGGGTTGCTGCCCCATTTCCCCCACCATAAAACGAGCAACAAAGGAGCTATGTCATGCTTATAATGTAAAATTGAAGACATAAATCACACGCAACAAACACAGCCCCAAAAAATACCACTGAACACTGAAAATTTAATGGAGTACATACAGTATCTATTATGGCACATCTCTGTCACTTTATTCTAACGACAATCAATCAATTATGTTTTTTAATACGGTCATGTGAGGGCATTGCAGTTATTTTGCTAAGTCTTGCATTAGAAGTCAGCAAGTTATTTTCACTGTTAAAATTCCAATGTAAATATCCATTGCAAAGATAGCCATCATGTCCAGTATTGCTTCAGTAAAACAAAACTATCACAACATGGAAGAATATTCTGTGAGCAACAAACAGCATAGAAAACATATTTTTAAATTTGACTTGAGTGAAAGGCTGACTGCAGCCTAAACTGGTGGCCAGTCAATGAACAGGGCAAACACTTTCCCAATGACATACATTTCCATTCACATTGTCACTATATGTGAATTGAATGAACATTGCCCAAACCATCCAACCATCTATTATACGAACAATTATTGTATTATTTTTAATTATATAAAAGTACAAAATAATAAAACCATATAATAAAGGAAGTGGCATGGGGTGTTTGGTGAACAACTAGCTCACATCCAAAGGTCCCTCATTTGAATGTTGGCTCAGGCTTCCTCGTACAAAACATGGATGACACGTTATTTAAAGACTCTAAAATTTTGGCCCGGTGGTCGACCTTTTCAGTGCGTCGACCTCACAGTGCAGAGATGCGGGGTTTGATTCCGTCTCCGGCATCCCTGTGTGGAATTTGCATGTTCTCCCCGTAGCTGCATGGGTTTTCTCCGGGTACTCCAGTTTCCTCCCACATTCCAAATGTAGGCAGATTGATGGAATGCTCTAAATTGTCCCTAGGTGTGAGTGTGAGCGCGAATGGTTGTTTGTTTCTGTGTGCCCTGCGATTGGCTGGCAACCAGTTCAGGGTGTTCCCGCCTACTGCCCGAGGGCAGCTGGGATAGGCCCCGGCACCCCCCGCGACCCTGGTGAGGATAAAGCAGTTCGGAATGAATGAATAATATAATCAGTTTTCAACCTAAATGAGTTCAATGAGCGAAAGTTCATGAACTCGTTCATGTTTTTTGCGAAAGTGAACTGAACGTTGTGTTTTTCTGCCTGGTGATTTTTGGGTCAATCCAAAATTGGAGGACATTTTGGCTTCCAAATTCTTGAAAAATAAACCTTCACCTTTTTGGTTTTCTGCTACATATTCATCAATAATAGGTAAGAAACTACCAAGGCTCGATTAGCTCAGCTGAGATCAATGATACAAGTTTTATGACATGATTTATGTGGTGTTTATCATTCCTGTCACTGTAATCACAGTAACAGTTGCACATCTGGACAAATGTTAGCTTTCGCTCAGGATATGAAGCTGGCTTTTCAGCTAACTGTTAGCTGATAGGTGAGCAAATTTAGGACAAATTTACTTTTGTAAATAAGTAGGGAAAAAATGACCATATCCATAACAATGTTGCAGGAGGTAGAGTGAGACAATCAAACAACGCTATATTTATAGAAATCTGAAAAATACAAAAGAGAGGACATACCTTTGCTCAATCCATTCTTTTGGAAAACTGTTTGATGATGTCAAGTCCACTATATCATGTGATTCACTGCTTTCCTCTTCTTGTACCATGCTAAAAAAGCTTATGCTAACCGGGTTCCATGCACGTTGTGGGACACACGTTCCATGAATGATAATTATTTAAAACATTACGTTCATGAAAACTTAAGCTCCCACAGTTACAAGAGACAGCAATGAACAAATAATATGCGAAAAAAAAGCAAGGTAATTTTCATTTTAACTCTTTTATTGGTGACTGAATTTCATCATCAAGAGAAAAATGCCATCATAAGGGATACCCCAGACTTATTTGGTATTTTTACAAATATTTTCAAATATTATTTCCTCTTAGCTTTTTTTCAGATTTGGTCTCAGGACAAATAAATTTATGCACAAACTGCATGTTTTGGTATTTTGTTCATTCATTTATTTTCCGAACCGCTTTATCCTCACTAGGGTCGCAGGGGTTTCTGGAAACTATTCCAGCTGTCTTCAGGCAGTAGGCGGGCGACACTCTGAACCGGTGTCCAGCCAATCACAGGTCACACAGAAACGAACAACCATTCGGGCTCACACTCACACTGAGGGACAATTTGGAGTGTTCAATCAGCCTGCCATGCATGTTTTTGGAATGTGGGAGGAAACCAGAGTACCCGGAGAAAACCCACGCAGGCACAGGGAGAACATGCATACTCCACACAGGAAGGCCGGAGCTAGAATTGAACCCGGTACCTCTGCACCGTGAAGTTGACATGCTAACCACTCGACAACGAGGCTGCCCGTTAGTATTTTGTATGTGGATTATTTAACATTTGATGGGTGGGATGTAAAATCTCCCTCCAATTCTGGAATGACCGTTTAGCGAACATGCTGATCCTGGCGGCTGTGAACGGCAGTTAATTTTTTTTTCTCAAAAGTGCCAGGTTTCATTCGTCTTCCAGGCTCAACACATGATAAACGAGCCTTCATACATAAGGGGAAGACCTGACTTTGGCCCCTGGCCTTCTTGTGTAGTCAGGTTTGCAGGTTCTCCCCGTGCCTGTGTGGGTTTTCTCCGGGTAATCCAGTTTCCTCCCACATTCCAAAAACATGCATGGCAGGTTAATGGATCAAATGAATCACTCTAAATTGTCCCTAGGTGTGATTGTGAGAGCGAATTGTTATTCGTCTCTGTGTGCCCTGTGACTGGCTGGCTGGCAACCAATTCAGGGTGTACCCCGCTTGCTTTCTGAAGACAGCTGGGGTATGCTCCGACACGCCCGCAACACTTGTGAGGATAAGCGGATCAGAAAATTGATGTATGGATAATCTATCTAAAGATAATATAGCTTTTCATTTTCATTTTTTTTTAAATTAGCTTTTCAGTTTCATGTTTCATTTATTAACCATCAAACTCTGTGGTCATTCAAGATCTGCTAAAGCCTCTTTTCTTCCCACCCCTTTGGAATTAATAATTCTCTTCCTAACATTACTGCAACTGATTTTATATCATACATTTATGTTAAATTACTTGCACCCAAATATATTATCATGATAATCACCAATAAAATTGTTTGTGTGTGTATAAAATGTCATCCCTTACTCAGAAATCGTCATTGCATAGAATTTCTTTGATGTCAAGAACACAACAATGAATCTTTTCTCTATAATACATTATTAAATATTGGGACACTCCTTGTGAAGGAAATATGCTGTCTATGTAACAGTAAGCAGCCAAAATACAGATCAATAACTTGGATTAAAATCTATGTTCTGCATGTTAAAAATAATGTACACTATTCTGTTAAAAAATCAGACTGATAAAATAAATAAACTAATAAAAGGTACAGTATAGTTTGTGTGCACAAACACATATGTGCATTTAAATGATGTCATCAAGGAGATGCGGAGTCCCTACCCAGTCCAATGTTCTTGGCTCAGAGGCAGCCATAATCATACACATAAACTGTTTACCTGTCCTCTTATCAATCGGATAAATAGTGGTGGGGGTGAATCTTAGGTTATTTTCCACAAAGTCACAAAGCTGCTCATACACTTGTGGGTATTCATGGCGTAAGAACACTCCTCGAATCCTTAACTCTCGTTGTATATTGATAAAACAGATTTCTCTGGCCTTCCTGCCTTCTTCTCCTGCTTTGTCAATATCTGCTGTTCCTGGCGGTGGAGTTAGGATCAGGGTTTCCATCTCACCCTGTTTCTTGTGGATCTTTCTGTCAGGGCTAAAAGAAGCCAGAGCAACCTTTGCATATTTTCTGACGGCTGGAGATTGATTCCTTGGTGAAGGTCCATCAGGCAGCTGCTCACCAACCGCAATGGATACATTCAAGATAAAACATTCATTTGGGTCATATTCTTTTCCAGCTTCTTGCAACTCTTTACAGTACTCCCCAAGGTTGTCTTTGAAACTTTCAAGCTCTCTTAGGGACAAGTATGTCGGTGACATAGGTAGACTATCCAGGCCTGCCTGCAAAAAGTTACTGGAAGACACAGTGTTTGGGAAACCTAGGAAGAGTACGCCTCTACCTCGAGAAAGATAACCAACTTTGGCAAGACGGGAGAAGGCTTTGTGGACTTCAATAGTCTCACGACAGTGTTTGATGATATGTCGACATGAGCTGCCAATCCTGCCATAAACACAACTCTCTTTATGAATGTCCCAGTCTTCTCTTCGGCAGTTGCGAGAGCAGTAATAGGTGTAGCAGCTGTGACAGGATTTAAAGTAAAGGCAAGCATTGAACAGAGTTTCGGTTCTCCGGCATTTGTTGTTTGAACACATCATTGTGTCATCCTCATCCGGGCTCTGATCCGGGGAGCATTCATCTCCCCCCTTCATTGCATCACTTGGGCCATCCATATCTTGCAATGAATTGGGATTTAATCTTATTGAAGTCGGTTGCTTGTCAAGAGGAGGTGGTTCTTCTGCAACAGCCTCCGAGCTCTTCCTTGACAGACATACAGCCTCTTCCTCGTCAATTAGCTTCTTCAGCTGATCCAGTATGTCCTCGCTCGCCCTTCGACTGGGCGGTTTGTAGTCAGTCACAAGATCAGCCAGCAGCTCATCAAGTTGTTCAAGGCTTTGCTGAAGAGAGTTGTCGTGTGGCTTTTCTTTGGTTGAGGCTTTATTGTCGTTCTGATCTTCAGCGCCTCTCGAGTCTAGCATCTCCCAACTGGCAGACTTGCCTTCAGCCTTCCTAAGATTCCCAGTCCGAAAGTCATTATCAGTGATTGTAATCTCGGGAGTTACTAACCACTGTTTGCTTGTTGTGTTTGTCGATGTTGCTGGAGGGCTTTGGTCAATCAAGCAGTTATCAGACATGGATAAAGCTGCATAACGTCTTGGTGAAGTGGAGAGATTGACGACAACTGGCTGTGGTTTGTCATCTGAGGCTCCTACAGGTTTCCGTGGATCGAGATCATGATAGCTCTGATGCCGTTGAACAGAAGGGGGTTGTTCCCTCTCTGGATGCGAGGAGAGAATATCATCCAATGATCTTGAGTAGGATTTAGAATCTGTGCCAATTCTTTGAGTTTCTGCAGAAGGGTTAGAATACCAAGGCATGAACACGGCCTCTTGTTGGACTCTGGTTGGAGTGACTTGGGACACGTAAGATACCGGATTAGAGGAATACCTAGAAGCATATGAACTGTACCAGTCATCTGTGTGTGCCGGAATAATTTTCACATTTTTTTGGTTGTCTGTATAATGTGCCCTTGCTGGGATATGGTGCTGTGGTGGCATGGCATGAATGTCCCGTGAATAAAAAAACCTTGGTGGAGCAGTCTGAATTTGATATGACCTCGGATCATCCCCATAAAATATTCTTGTTGGTTGCGGTTGTATGATATATGGCCCTGGCTCATTTGCTGCAAAGGATTTTGGATACCCTGCCCCTAAAGTGTATGGATAGTGCTCCATTTCATTGTAGTAAGGCCTTGCACCCACAGCATGCACCGCTCGACCTCTTTGATCGTGTACATACTGCACTTTAGAGGCTTGTCCTGTGTTACGTTGATCGTGAAAATAAGAACTGGGCTGAGGAGGAGCAGTGGTAACATATCTACTAGGATCCTCTTCATAAAACATTGGGATTGGCATGTGAGGGCTGGAGTGAGTCCTGTTTTCCATGTCATATCCAGAAGAAGACATCCCTTCGAAAGGAACTTCCATTTGGTGTTTGTACTTATTTGGCAGACTGTAGGAATTTTGAGAAGCTTGCTGACTCTCTGTGCCCAATGAATCTGTGGGCGTTGGTACTCTGGAATAGGAGAAATGGCGGGGCACGGTCAGGCTCCTACCCCCCCAATTGTGGTGTCTTTGCCAGGGGATGTCCATTTGAGGAGGAGGAGGTTTATGTCCAGTGTGATGTAATGCCGAATCATTTGGTTTGATGTCTACCCGACATCTGACATGAGGGCTGGTTGCCGGTTTATCCAGCAATGCCTCCTCATACGTATTAGCTACATAATGTGGTGAATATCTGTTGTTACTACTTATTTGAGGTTGAAGTCCAACAGGATGTCCTTCATGAGCTCTATTAGCTGCATAGGAGGACTCCTTACGTGGTGAGAAAGCAGGTCTCCATTGAGATTCTCCAACGGTGCATCGGGACTCCCTTCCCTTCCTCCCAGAGGATGAGGACTCAAATGATATAGGGGTGAGATTAGTTTGGACTCGAGGCGCACTTTTTGACCGAGCTCTTCGTTTTTGCTCAGGGACGGCAGGCTCACTGTTTATACTGGAATCCATTGGTTGAGATGTTAACCGATAGTTGAAAATGTCTGGAGCAGAAAAGCGGTACCGCTGATGATGACCCAGGGCATTCCAGACAATATCTGGGTTAGCTCCATGCCTGTCAGTCTTCTTGTGTGGGGAATGCATTGAGTATTTAGGATGTTTTGGGTATTCCTGTGAGTTGTATTCCAAAATACGGCAGTGCTGCTTATCGTCCTTGCTTTTAATGTCTTCCAATGTGCTGCAATTTAAAGAATTACATTCTTTGGAGAGTTGCAAGGATTTGGAGAGGGATGAAATGCGGGTAATTTTTATGTCTCGATGCACACTTGATACCAATAAGTCAGGTGGCCCTGTGAGTGTCATCTTAAAAGGACTCCTTTAGTTTTCGCCATCAAGCTCAATGGTTGTGGATGTTGCCTAGAAGAGAAACAACAAAAATCATTAGGAACAATGGGGATCTTTACAAATAAGTCATGTGTTGATTTACAGAAACTTCATTTTTTTTCTAATTTATCTGTTACAGTGGAATGTTTGAAACAAGACTCGTTGCCATAAAAATTGTGAGAAAGGTAAATGAACTTAAATCTGCCCACATATAAGGTCAGTGAGTGATTGCCGGTATTTTATCCGAATGGTTGATGTTGATATATCATTGATAAACATTTAATCAACATAATGTCGATGGTATCTGATGATGAATATGACATTGGAAAAACGTCCATGTTACTGAAATTGAATTGTATTTACTCATAACTATCGTGTACATTATACAGATCAAAATTGGGGACCCCCTGCCCGAGTGGGAGCTCTGCTTCACAGAAAGAAACTCAGCAAGCTTTCATGTCCGTCATGCTGCCACATGTTTCTTCAAATTTTATGTCGGTTTTTAAACCTAGGTAACACTTTGTCGACAGCACACGGAATATAACCAACAATCATAGTGAGCTGACACAAACTCCTCATCGTGACTGTATTTTCAGGTTGAAAATGCAAATCTTTCCTTCCTCCACTTTGATGTACACGAGACGTGCAAGTGCCGAAAACATGACTTCGCGCAAACGTGACATCACATTTTGGCAATGTTGGTCTAATGTCAGTGGCGGACCCTGAGGGCCAGCAAGGCCTTCTCTGCTGGCCTAAACATTCTCAGAAAAGTAAATTTACTTTTATGTATTTTATGTTATTTTATAATTTATGTTATTTTATTTTCATAAATATGTAAACAAAATTATTCTCTGTATTCTTTACGTCATATTATTTCCACTTAGTTGAGTGGCTTTCAATCTGCCACCTTAAAATCCTATTTATGCAGCTTGATTAATAAATACCACCTACTTACTAAAAACAAAGTTTTAAAAAAGCAACGTCTAATTTTAATTTTCAAACTCAAGACGCCAAAGACACATTCAGATCATGTATGTCAGCGCGTGCGTGTTGTATCACAATGCGTCGCCCAAGGAAACGGAGCCTGAAGGTGTCATGATTCGGTTTGGGACCAACAGGTGGCACTGTAGGGCTCTCCCTGCAGCTGCACACCTGTTGGTCATTAGGTAATTAGTGGCTTTAAAAGGACTCCCAGCCCGAGCAATCATTGTCGGGTCATTGTTGCTTTTTGCTGCTGTCATGTTTGTTTGTCAGTCATGTTTCGGTCATGTTTTTGGTCATGTTTTTGTTATTGATAGTTTTGAGCTTCAGTCATGGTTTTTGGTTGATACTTTGGACTTTGTTTGTTTAGGATTTAGTTTTCTGTGTTTTATCAATACACTTCTTCAAATACACCCTGCTCCTCCGTCTTGCCTGCTTTTTGGGTCCACCACCACCTCGCATATGCGACAGAATGACCCGACCTCCTGGACCCCGCAGGGACAAAGGATTGGTCCCAATTCCACCATGTGCCAGGCGGCGCACGTCTGCGGCCGACACCCTTTTCCCCTTCAGGCAGCGCTGGTCTTGCGGCTGTTCCATGTTTTCCCCTTCAGGCAGCGCTGGTGATGCGGCTGTCCCATGTTCCCCCTTCAGGCAGCGCTGGACTTGCGGCTGTCCCATGTTCCCCCTTCAGGCAGCGCTGGACTTGCGGGTGTCCCCTGTTTTCGTCTTGCTAAA